CTGCCCCCAAATCCAATATTGCCTCTACTAATTACCTCATGTATGAGGTGAGAAGAAAGTACTTTGCAAACTATAGCATTATGTAAATAGGAGCTCCGCTAATGATGATTTTTACTGAAACCTATATTCCAGATGTGGGCTGACCAACACAGAGGCCAATGGGACAGTGATTCCCAGCAGGTACTTTTTGTAATAGCTTGGATACATTGTTCTACCAGCCTAGGAACTGTTCCTGCAAAGGAAATGAGCTTGGTTTTATTGGGCTCATTTTTACTAAAAGATGCTACTTCCTGTAGCCCATTTAATTTTTTTTTCTGCATCAGATGATGATAATAATCAAAGAAATGCTGCTTTTTCCCCTCTCTACCTTAGAAACACAAATTCTAGAGGAACCAAGATCTCCCAATTATGGATTTGAAAAGTGGCACTATTTAAATCTGTGTACCGTCAGTGATTTTCAAGTGCACCTCTTGAGCAATGAAACGATGGCCCTGGATGGGTCCTGTTACTATGACGACTATTTACTTACCAATATCAGCAAGGATGGTTCTGGACTTTCACTATGCTCCCCTCAGATTGCCTGATTCAGTATCAGGCCTTTCCAAAGAAGCAGAAACTAACCCCCAGCTTAAGTCCAACAGCCTGCGGTGTGATTTAACGTAGATTAACTAAAACTCAACAGTATTAATGGAGTATCATGTTGCCAGTCATTTTCCATTGTGTTGCCAACATAAATTACTTGAGTTTTAATATTTCATTGATGTTTAGTCCCATGAATTAAATGAAAAATTAAAAATGGATGAGCCATCACCTCCCTCATCTGCTTCAGGTATTTCTGGCATTTTAGCAAGCGGAACTATCCATATTTGGTTTGGTTTGGTTTATTTACTTGCAAGGCTACTCTGTATTCATCTATTATGTTTGAAAACTACTTTTCTTTGTTTTTATTTTCTTTATTTCTTTAGAATCCTACAGTCTATTAACTTTTGAACATGCTAGAGACCCTTCTTTATTGAAATGTTCAACTACTTTGTCCTTGTATATAAGAAGAGGTTAAATGGTAGAATTGAAAGAGGGCTGTATTTGGTGTCACAGACCCTCAGTTTACACCCTGGCCTTCTGGTGTGACCTTGGGAAGTCAAATAACCTCCGTGCAACTCAGATTCCTCATTTGCAAACAGAAGACATGGGACTAGAAATCAGGGGTGGGGACCCTGCGGCCTCAAGGCCGTATGTAGCCCTGTAGGTCCTCAAGTGCAGCCCTTTGACTGAATCCAAACTTCACAGAACAAATCACCTTAATAAAAGGATTTGTTCTGTGAAGGTTGGATTCAATCAAAAGGCTGCACTTGAGGACCTAGAAGGCCACATGTGGCCTTGAGGCTGTAGGTTCCCCACCTCTGGACTAGATGAACTCTAGGGTCACTCCAACTCAATTATCCAAGATCCTATAAAGAATAAGAATTTCATCATGTTCTTAGACCTGGAAAGGACATGAGAGGTCATTTGAATCCAACTTCATCATTTCACAGATGAAAATCTAGGACCCAGGGAAGCCAAGTGACCAAGGCTGAATATGTAGTCATTATCAGAGACAAGATTTGAGTACAAATCTTTGGAGTCCAGAGTCAGCGGTCTTTCCAACGTACCAAATGTTTCTCTACCTGTGAACTGGAAGTGCCCCCTAGCATACTCCAAGGATGAATTTGATAGCATATGATGCATATAATTTTTCCCCAAAAAACAATATGGGGAATTAAATTTTCCCATGCCATTACATCCTATTCCTTAGTTCACTGACCTTTGGTTGATTTCAAGGTCCATGGTAAATTGCTGACTGCATGACTCCCTATCTGTTTGTCCACTAGTAACCCTCTCTCTTTTGATTCAGAGAATAATAGCACCTCAAATTTACATGCAATCTTAAGCCATTTTGTCGCAACACAAACAACCCTGTGAACTAGGTAGTGCAAATATTTTTATTCCCATTTTACAAAGCAACAAAATTTACAAAGGTAATAAGTAGTAAAAAGCCAAGATTTAGAATTATACAGACAACCAATTAATAAAGATTATTACATCTACATACTTTAATCAATAGGTATTTTCATTGAATATTTTATTTTTTTCAATTTCTGCACTTAGTCTTAGACATAAAAAAAACCTCCAAAAAGAGACTTTCTTGATAACAAAGCATTGATTTAACTCAGTAGCAGAGAGCTTTGTTGTATATTGTGAAGACATAAAGAGTGGGCTTACAGAATACTTATCAAAGTGGGATAGATTTCTACTAATGTGAAGAAGAAAATGACAAGCTCCATCAGTACATAATGACTTAGAAATCAAAGCAAAAATCCCCTGGTAAAGTGACCTCCAGAAGAAGCAGTGTTGTCTTTTATTGCCAACAATTGCAGCAGGGGACTTACCCTATTTCTAAGAGTAGCTTTCATTCACTTTTAAAGGGATGAAAATTAAGTAAAGGAGCACCATTGAAATACAAGTCCTATGTGTCTGTATTTCTGTATATCCTTGGAGGTATTAATGATGGTGGGGCAAAGCTTCAGTTGTAAACTCCTGACAGATTGTGTGTGTGCTAACAACCAGCCTATTAAAGTTCTAAGAAGCTCCTCACAGAATCCTAGAATCACAGATTTCAGCTGGGAGGGTCCTCAGAAGGGATCCAGTTCAGTCTCCTCTTTTTACAGATAAGAAAACTAAGGCCCAGCACGGCTAACAACTTTGCCCATAGTCACACAAGAAGTGACAGAGACATATGTAACTGGTCTTCTGATGCTAAATCAGGTCTCATTCTACTGCGCCTTAGTTGGCCACAAAGAAATGAACATTGTCAATCACCAGCCCTCTTATTAAAGAGAATCCACTGATGTATAGATGGCTTAATATTTGCAACATCATGCCTAAGAAGTTAAGATTCTTAAATATTCAAGTATTTCATAAGACTACACATATGCACGTGTGTGTACATGTGTATTATACACTTACATGTACATGCATGTCTGTATTGAAATAGATATTTGTGAAAATCATAAATAACATGTGAACCTATACAAACCTTAAAGTGTAACATGTTAGTTATTATTATTAATAATATATAATAATGACATGATATATTGAAATTTTATGCATATTAATAATATATTATAGCAAATTGATGTGATTTATACTATTATGTTATTGTAATTATATTAATAACATTAGCTTTGTTTTATACAGTGTTTTAGGGTTTACAAAGCATCATATCAACCCTGGAGATGGAGTGCTTTTATTATCCCCATTTTACTGGGGAGAAAACTGAGGGAGACAGAGGTTAAGTAATTTGCCTAGGGTCAGATAGCTGTGTCTAAAAGCATATTTTAACTCAGATCTACCTCACTGGAAGTCCAATATTCTATCTACTGTGTCTTATTATTATATACTAGAAATGTTTCTTTATCTGTTCATATGTTTCATTTAGTTGCATTTCTATTTGATCTATTAGAATGTAATTCCTTTGAAAGCAAGATCTACATCCTAACTATATATTTGCAATGCCTGGCACATAAATAAGGAATGGGAGGGGAAAGGAATAAGTATATGGCACCTACTCTGTGTCAGGAACTATGCTAAGCACTTTAAAATTATCTCTTTTGATCCTCACAACAATCCTGAGAGGTAGGAGCAGTTATTATAAAAGCAATCAAGAAATACTTGCTGGATTAAATAAAGCTACCTTTACTGATACCACTCTTTAACCCACAGAAGATGTAACTAAAGCATTTTTTTAAAATCCAAATAGAATGTCTATGTTTTATTTCACCTTTTCCACCCTAACAAAAACAGCCTACTAGGTCAGATCCACTGAAGAAGTCATGGCAAGGTCAGTAAGAACCAACGGTGGTCTACTACAGCCAAAGTGACTCATGTGATTTGGACTCCATTATCTTCCAGGACCAGGAGGGTGAGCATCCCATTTTGTTCTGCCCTGAAGACCACACTGGGAGTTATGTGTTTAGTTCTGTAGGCCACTCACTCATAGCAAATTCCCAATTGTTGGGGTTCTTCAAATAGAGCCTGAATGGCCACTTGCTGGGCACATTGGAATCAATGACCTCAGAGTTTCATTGCCACTTCGACATTCTATGACTTACCAAAAACCACATGTCAATAACTGCCAGAGCTAAATCACAAATTCAGGGCTTCAAACTGACTCCAAGTATCCTTTCTATTATATCAAGTTGTAAAGTGTAGCCACCTAATTGCAAGACTTTTATTCCCAAACTCTCCCTCCGCCATGATTACAATAATAGGAAAACAGTATTTTAAGATTTGCAAAGCAGCTTACATATGTTAAGTCATTTAATTAATGCCACGAAACACAATGGAAGGGCAGAATCAGTTGAAATGTCAAGAAGCCAAAAATTTATTTCTCCCCCCAAGTGTTGGTTTCCTACCATTTGAGATAGAACCAGTGGCAATGTGGTTTTACTGGTTTAGGGTCAGGAAATCTTCATTTAAGCCCTGCCTGTACTACATGCTGGCCACACAAGCCAGGGCAAATCATGGAACCTCTCAGTGCTCTAGGCAACCTTCTAATACAACTCTCCCAGTTTCAGGGAAAGAGTTAACCTATATTGGTGGAGGTAAAAATCACGGAACCGTTTCCTATGTTATCCATTAGGCAGTTCTCTAAAATTAAAAGTTTCAGAGGAGGAGCCAACTCACATTGGTAGAGGGAGTTCTCTCAGCTAAGAGACCTCTGGGGTGCTTAAATTACAGGTCCAATCCCTACTGCTATCCCCTAGACACAACCAAATACCACACTACCAAAGAGAAGGAAAGATTGAGTAGGGACCCACTGAACACAAAAACACATAGATTGCCCATCTTGGTAATTAAGATCTCGTGTTAATAGATACATGGTAGACATAGGGATAGAAATGGGGTACAAGGAAGATGGAGTGAATTCAGTGCAGAAGTGTAAGAATCCTATTTTGACTTACTTTATCTTTGGAGAAGCTGAAAAGTTGTTTTCGGTCAGTGAAGAACTGCACAGCTATCACACTGGCTGAATGACCCCACAGTACCCCAGTGGGTTTAGAGACAACATAAGGATTCCAAAGGCAGACTCTATGATTGAGTCCAGCTGTGGCTGTTCAGAATTTCACAGAAAAAAAAATTAATTTTAAAAATGAATAATCTATAACACATCATTATTAGAAGTAGTGACTTATCACCTTTCTCCAATCAGGGCTTCATAACCTAGATCCATGAACTAGCATTTACTAAGCCTTTACTATGTGCCAGTGACTGTACTTGTCTGTGGGCCTATGAATATGGTCCTTTTTTTTTAGTTCAAAAACTATATTTCAAAGCAATAGGTTTCCTTTGTAATCCCATGTGTACCTTTTTGCATTAAAAAACATTACTCTGAGAAGAGGTCCAAAGGCTCCCCCAGGCTACTGAAGTTTCATGACACACACACTCTTAGGCAGCATGGTGGGGAGGAAGGAGAAAAGGATCATGAATTTGGAGACAGATGGGTCTACAGAGGTCACTTTGTCCAACCATTTCATTTTGCAGATGAGAAAATTGAGGCTCAGAGAGGTATGGAGAATTGATCAAGGTTACACAGGTAGAAGTGGGGAAGGCTGGATTTGGCACCTCTAATTCCTCTGATTACAAAGTCAGTGTTGGATTTAAAATCAAGGAAGCTGGGCTAGAGTCCAGACCCTGCTGTGGGACCTTGTGCAAATGAGTTTATGTCCCTGAAACTTGGTGTTTATAGTGTTTATATAGCCCTTTAAGGTTTGTTAAGCACTTTACAAATATTTCATTTTATCCTCGCAGCAACCCTGGCAGGTCAGAGCTATTATTGCCCCCATTTCACCCACCGATGAGGAAACACAGGCAAACAGAGTTTTGTTGTTTTTTTCCTATGGTCACAAAGCTGGTTAGTGTTTGAGGCTGCTCAGCTCTTGCTGACTCCAAGTTCATTGCTCTGCCCATTGCATCACCTGCTTTCCTTGGCTTCTCCATCTTAAACTACTTGAAAGGGGAGACTTTCATTTTTTTTTCTTTGTGTCCCCATCACCAATCATAATACCTAGCGCGTGAACAGAGCTTAGAAAATGCGTTGATTGATCCATAAAATAAAGGTGTTGGACTAATGAACTCTATGGTCACTTCCAGTTCTAGAGCCCCTGATGGCTGCTGAGGGACTATGTCCTCTCATGTCTTTATAAAGAAGGGGCAGCTATACAATTCCCACCCTTCCTGAACCTGTACTCCTAATCTAGGCCAATGAAAAGGATACCAGGGCAGGGAGAACTGTAGCTTACGCTCTCACGTTACACTACCAAAACAAGGAATTTAGAGATGAAATCTCCAAATAACTAAAAGGGGACAAATTCTCCCCTAAACTTCAGACTTCCTTTTCTGGATACATCAGCTAAAAGCAGAAGATCTCTGAAAACTTGGACTGTTGAGCCTTTGTTTTTGGATACCCAGTGCCTATCATAAGGGCTGGTATACAATGGGCACTTAATAGATAGGTGTGGAATGAATGGATGAATTAATGAAACAACTGTAGAACTGACTACATTAACTCATGCTTCCAGAAAGCAGCCTAAATTTCCTATGTCCTACTAAAATGCCACTGTATACCACCTGGCTAGCTGGAAGTGTGAGAGATATTGTCTTTGACAAATGTCAGTTTATTTAAGGACTACAAAATGCTGTCCTCATAATACAGGGACTGTAACTACAGCTGGGCACCACAGAATTGGTACTTTTGAACTGTGGCACTAAAGGAGATTTTTGAGAGTCCCTTGGACAACAAGGAGATCAAATCAGTCAATACTTAAAGAAATTAATTCAGGCTATTCACTGGAAGGTCAAATACCGAAGGTGAAGCTTAAATACTTTGGTCACACAATGAGAAGATGGGACTCATGGGAAATGACCCTTGTGTTGGAAAAGATTGAAGGCAAAAGGAAAAGGGGATGATAGAGGCTGTGATGGACATATAGTGTCATGGAAACAACAGCTATGAATTGGGACAGACTTCAAGAAGGGCTTGGCTTTCTATGGTCCGTGAGGTCAGACAACAACAACAAATGTTGCATAGCAGATAGAGTGCTGTATTGGAGTCGGTTATGGTCTCTTCCATAAGATCCTGCCTCAGACACTTTCTAGCTGTGTGACACTGAGCAAACCACTTAGCCTTTCTTAGCCTCAGTTTCCTCATCTATAAATGGGAATAAGATATGTAATATAAATACCTACTTCATATAATTGTTGGGGAGGAAAAAAATAGAAAATATATGTAAAGTACTTTGCAAATCTTAAGGTGCTAATCAAATGTTAGTTATTATAATTATTATAGTTCTATAAAATAGGGCCTATAAGGATTATAATCTCCATACAGGTAAAGAAACTGAGGCTCAGGAAAAAAATGAATTCCCTTGTCCCAGATCACGCAGCTAATACATTCAGAACCTGATATAAGCTCAGATCCCTTACTGATCTACTACATATGGGGTTTCTTACCCCAGGCATATATTTTGGCAATTATTTCAATATCGTTGTTTTCCTTAGTAATACTATGGAGTTTATTTCATTCATTTAAGAACCTTATTCTGAGAAGAGATTCATAGATTTTGCAGACATGACACAAGTCCATCTTTCTTTCCCTTTATCCTCCCAAGAATCTACATTTTCAAAGTTTATCAGTAGTTTCTTGTGAAGTTAAACAATTAATGCTTGTAAACAAATTGGAGTTTCTGAGCCAAAATGCACAGATGTTATAAGAAAGCACAAAAAATAAATCTCTCCAGGGGCAACTCAAGGCAAAGAAGAACCTGGAAGTTTCCATGAGAGAGAGCCTATATTCTGATGATGGTGAGAAACATTTTAAACATAGATTTTATATACACACACACACACACACACACACACACATATATGTATATATATATATATAATTTAATTCAAAGTGTATTTATTTCAATGGAATATTTGGTGATACCAGGTGAGGGGACTGAGAGACATCTTTTTTTTGCACAAAGCTGGTCTTCTTTCACCTTATTATAGTTTTTCTTTTTTTTTTTTTTCATCAGGGTGGAGAATTCCCAGGATGTAAAGTCCCTCCAACTGCAAGATCTGCAATTTCTAGACACAGTGAGTTTCCTGGTTCACTTTAATGACTTGCCTGTCATTACAGATCAGGTATACATTGAAGCTAGGCTTTGAACTCACGTCATCTTGCTTCTAAGCCAACCCTTCTACTTACTATGTTTCTCTGTTATCTTATACTTAGCTTTAATTTTATTTTTTAAATTTGTTTAATTAAAGTTTATTGATGGCATATTTTTTTTTACTTTGACATCCGAATCATTCCCAGACATACCACTACCCACTCACTGAAAATACCTTTCCTTGTATCAAAGAAAGAAAAAAAACAGCTAAGGAAAATCTACAAACATAGTGACAACATCCGACATTGTGGGCAAACCATAATCCCTCACCACTCCAAGATCATGATCAACCATCCTCCATTTTAGTAAACAGACTCATTAAAGCCCAGGAGCATATCCGTATCATTTGTCCCAAAGATGTATGAATTCTGCCACATGTCACATGTGATAATAACCTTTTACCAAATATTCCTATACAAAAAACCCCCCAAAACACTGAAATCTTTATATATATTTAGGTGTCTCCATTCCCATAAAGGTACAAGGAGAAACTTTATGTTTATAAATTTCTATGCCAGATTATCTGTTAATAAGGAGGCTCTCTAGTGAATATGGTTTCTTTAACATACCAATTAAATTGAGGTGAGAGTGGTAGTCAAAAGTGTGGATGCCCTGTGCAATGTTGAAGGATGTCTTCTTAATCCACTTCTGCTTGGATTTTTCCCTCCAAGCCAGTACCACTGTGTTCACATGGCTGGTTGTGCTGGAAATTATAGCATCTAAAGAAGCATCGTAAATCACTGAGAACACAAAGGAGAGACAAAATCATAAACAGATTTCTCATGAGCTAGTGTAATTATTTCAGTCAGGAAGATTTTTTTTTAATCTAAAGAATTTCGATTTTAAATCAGCCTCCAAGAGAGAAGTCAAACTCAGAGCTACAATTTGAACCACAGACAAGACTCTGTCCAAGGTGCTAACATGGGTGGTGTTTCCTCCCCGCTGAAGACTGCAAATTGCCATCTTCTTCTGGTTCACAAACTCCACAGGGGTTGTGGGCAAAGGCAGCCCAAGGGAAGAAAGATAAATTGTGGTCATGGGTCCATGAAGGGAAGATGGGAAGAAAAGGGAGAATTGGCTGCTCCTCCTAGAATGATTGCATACATTCCTAGGACTGGACTCCAAACATACTACTGAGAAGGGCTTCTATAAACATTGTCCTCCGAATTCATGGCTGCCTCACTTCAAACTGGCCTCTGGACCCCTATTCCACTTCCCTCAGTCACCAATTTTGCTCCAAGTAAAAAAAAAAATCCTAGTGATTGGTGCTTTGGCAGACAAATAACTTTGGCTGAGAAGCTAGAAAAAAATCTGCATGAAGATTTGCCCTGCTATGCTGCCTTGAAAGGAAAGTGTTTCCTTTCTGCTCTCTTATTGGAGTATGAGCAACTGGAAAACAGAGAAAAGTACTAGTTTATTCATTTATTCATTCAGCAAGCAAGCAAGCATCAATTTCATGGAGTTTCAAATGGGAAGGGACTTTCAAGATAATTTAGTCTAATCCCTTTATTTTACAAATTAGGAATTTAAGGTCCAAAGAGATGAATTGATTACCCAAGATACCTTGTGTGTTAAAAGGATTAGGATTTGAACCCAGGTCCATTGAATCCAAATCCAGTTTACCTCTCATCAGTTTTCCATATTGAAAACACATGGTAGAAAGTAACATTGATCATAATAATCACATGGGATTCAAGAGAGAGAAGACAACTGACTGATTATATTCTTGGATACTTCTACCCAGAGCAGATGTGACCAGACAAGAGCTCACAAGCCATCTGGTCCCCCACTCCCCACCCCAGAATGATAAGCTGGTTTAACACAGGTTTGTTAGCTCCAGATTCTTTGGGAAGCTGATGGCCTGGGCTCAGCCAGGTTTCAGAAGTTCAGCCAGAAGCTTGGTCAGAAATGCCTGGCTCCTGATGACACCCAGAAAATGCCAGGTCCCAGAGTCCCAGCTCCATTTGGCCACTTCCACTCTAGGTCAGCTTCTTTTTGAACCCAGGAATCAGAGCCACTAAAAGCCAACCCATCATACCTTTTGTTACCAATTTCAATCGAACTTCCCCTACATAGGTTCCTACAAAGGGGATTTCCCTACATTGGCAATGAACTTCTTAATCTGTCCTTTGAGGCCAAATTCCTATTCCAATAAAGCAAGATGTATGAGTATAATCCAGCTCAGTGTTGTGAATACAAAGACAAAAACCACAAAACAGTCCATGTCTTCAAGGAGCTTACATTCTGTCAAGGGATGTAGCTATAAGAGAGATCTCTGTTAATATACAACTCACATTTTTACCCTGCTTTAAGTATTATAATCACTGTAAGGCACAGGTCTACCTCCAGAGCTTGGTCAATATAGTGATCCTCTTCCTACCTTCCCTCTCCTCTCCCCCTATTCTCTGCTCAACTCTATCTGCTCCAGATAAAACTCCTTTCTAGTCTCAGCTCTAATGGTTGTCCCAATGCTCTAAATACCTCTGTTGTTTCATTGACATGGATGGCCTTTCCAATAATGCAGATGAGAGCCCAGTAGCAGAGACAACATGGCCTAATGGATAGGACATGTTTTTGTCAGCAGGAAGATCTGAGTTCAAATCCCACCAGACATCCTTTCTCATTGGGTGACCCTGGGAAAATCATTGGACCCTTCTGTGCCTCAGTTTGCTCCACTATAAATGAGGGGGTTGCAATTGATAGCATCTAATATCCCTTCAAAATGTATATGTCCCATTCATCCACATATTTTACCATTCTTGACCATGTCCTCCCAAGTCTGGCACAAGGCTCCACACAAAATTCTGGGGCCTTCATTCAAGTTCTCCTCCCATCCCCAGGATACCAATGGAGCACAATGACTCCATTCATTTTATTTTTAAAATAAAGTTAAAGGCAAACAAAAGGCACTGTGGTATAATGAATAGTGGTATCCCAAAAGTCCTAGGTTCAAGGCTTGTTTCTGATACAAACTAACTGTGTGATCCTAGGCAAGTTGTTTAACCCCTAAGTGCTGGAGACAACTCTCTAAGAATAGAAATTACAGAGAGGTTGCCAACCTGCGTTAGTAAAGGGAGTTTCCTCATATCAGAATTCCCAGACCAGTGAAATCAACAGGGTATCCCATTTGTTGTTTAGTCATTTTTCAGTTATGTCCAACTCTTCATGACCCCATTTGGAGTTTTCTTGGCAGAGATACTGGAGTGGTTTGCCATCTCCTTCTTCAGCTCATTTTGCAGATGTGGAAATGGAGGCAAACGTAGTTGAGTGACTTGCCCAGAGTCACACAGCTAGTGTCTGAGGCTGAATTTAAAATCAGGAAGCTGGTGTCCTAGCCACTGCACCACCTAGTTTCCTGGATGTAAGCCCTGTCTCTATCCTAAAGATATACAAATACTTTAGCATTTACCACCGAGCTCTTTATCAGTGAGTACACCATTTGCGGAACCACCTCATCCCAAAGCAAGGAACACAGCAAATTCCAACCATTCAAAGCTGGGATCAAGGAAGACCCCCACCCCACAATCAACCATGAGTTGACCAAGGTTCAGCATTTTGGTCTCTCAGGGGATGAAGCCAACTATTGCAGCTGGCTCAGGAAAGAGAACAACGATGTGCATTGCAGCCCTATCATTATCACTCCACATCTGTGGAAATGCCATCATGTCCTTATGGCCCAAACCAGACAAGACATAGCTATCCAAGCAGTTCCTCTGTGATGTGATCGTGCCTTCAAATCTGCTATAATCCACCTTCAGGGAGCCATCAGGGAAAGTCATGGAAAGTGAGTCCTAGATGACAACTCAAAGCAGGCCTTGGAGATGAGGAGCTGCAGGTATCCCAGTACATTTGAGAGGCTGCCAGGCTGCTGCAGGGGCTCAACCTTTTTGATAGATTTTTCTTTTCCTGAGCTAAAACTTGTAATTTATTAAATTATGGTATGTCTGGATCCCCTGAGGCTGTCTAGCTAAAAAGGTGACTATAATGCCATTTCCTTAAAATCAAATTATCTGATTCATAGAACTATTTGCTTAACTTCTTAAAGATGAGGAGGCAGAGCCAAAGGTTAAGCATGCAAATGCCTTAAAGATAAATCCACAAGCAAGAGCAACAACAATGGCTCTTTGCATATATTATCTTGCTTTCTCACAGCCATCCAGTTAGGAAAGTACCTCAGGGGTCATTATCATTCCCATTTGACAGATTAGGTCACTGAGATTCAGAAAGGTTAATGCTAGAAGGTCCAGGTGTGACAAATGATAGAAAAAAATATAATTTTACTTGGAAGGAAAAATTGTCATTCTATCTACATTTGCTTTCAGATTTAAAAAAATGCACTGTGGTCAAATGTCACAGCTTGGTCCTTGGAGATATTCTTAAATTCTGGTCCTTCTATTAAGAGACTTTAATGGGGTCACAAAAGCTAAAAAGCATTAGGGGCAGGATTTGAACACAGTCTTCCTGGTTCCTAGTCCAGTATTCTTTGGGTCACACAGTAGATTTGTAGATTTAGAGCCAGAAGTAATCTTAGAGGTCATTTAATCCAAATTCCTCATTTTACAGATGAAGAAACTGAGGCTCTAAGAGGGTAATGCAACTTGACTAGGAATATAACAGCTAATGAGCATTGAAGACAGAATTTGAATCCAGGTTTTCCTGACTCATAGTCTAGTACCCATCAGATATCAGATAAACTAATAAACTTAATGCCAGATCAGATCTTGGAGGACATCTAGCCCAACCCTCTTATTTTACAGATGAGGAAACTGAAATCCAGAGAGTTTTAGCTCACAATGATATTGTAAATGATTGATCCAGGAATTGAACCCAAATCTTTGAACAAGTTCCTAATCTGAGACTTTATATACTTCGCAACTCTGTCTCTTAAACATGTGAAAAGAAACAAATGCTAAGTTTAGGGGATTTTTTTCTAGATTTTTCCATTAAGAAGACCCCATATTTGGAACTAGAAGTGACCTTAAAGGTCACCTACTCCAACCCCTTCATTTGGCTGCTGGGAAACTGGATTTCAGAGAAGTCAAGTGACTTGTGCAAAATCCCCCAATGAGTCCCTGGATGACTAACCCAAGCAACGACTTTAGGGTCATAATTTAAGGTGAGGGGTGATTACAAGTTGATCTTTTGCCTGACCAAGTCAAGTCAGTCAGCATTTATTAAGTACCTACTATGTGTCAGACACTGGCCACTGGAACTCTAGCATCAGTGTGGTTTTGACTTTTACTCACTTGGGGTGTGGCTATTTGAAGAAAAAAAATGGAAGGAAGGAAAACTACTTGTAATTTCCCAGTTTTTTCTGGTGTCCTGGAAGAACTGTAATACCTAGTCATCTGACTCAGCGTTATGGCAATTAGTTATCTTTAAAAAGCTTTCTGAAGATGAAAAGTGCTATGTACAAAGGAAGCGATGTTATTAAGTGCACTTACAGAAAAAGGGAGCAAGACAATCCCCACTGAGAAATCCTGAACCACCCCCTAGAAACTGTAGGGGAGGGAGGAATAAGAGCGGGCCGTCTCTAATCTAACCACCCAGGCTTGGTTTTTGGTTGGGAGGCTTTTTTAAACCAATTTTCTTACTTTCTAGGTGGGGGAAGGAAAAGGTTGCATCTTGTTATTTAGAAAAAACAAAAAGCATCCCATTGCCTCGAGCTCCCCTTGATGCTCTTTTGCTTCAGGGATCTTATTCCCCAACTTCATCCTTTATTTTGAAGCATGAGGCTCCT